GGTTTTGAGGTCGAAAAAAATCAGAGCTGGAAGGGAACTTAGAGATCATCTAACACAGTCCTTTCATCTTACAAATGTAGGAATTTGGGTCCCAAAGAGGATACATAGCTTGCCCAAGGACATACACAAAGTAAGTGGCAGATTCAGAAATAAATCCCCTATCTTCTGCTTCCCAATTCAGGGAATTTTCCACTACTGCATGCCAGATCATACACACAAGTGTCCACTTCTTGTATTTCTAATTTCATATAGCTGAACTATTACTTTAAATGGTAATGTTAATGAATTCCATGAGTCAGCGCTTATTTTCATATTCTGCCAATTAATCGTGGTTTGGGGGTAATTCACTCCAAGGCCTTGGATTGTAAAATGCAGCGTCAGCTGTTTTTTTTTTTTTTTCAAGGTAATTCATTCCAAAACTTGGACCAAGGATACCTAATGTCGTTCAGAGTTAGCTGGATTTGTCTCTAAATGTCCTTGAATTAAAAATCTACAGTCCTGTTTGTTTTTCCCACAGCACAGCTACAGGGAGCAACTGTGACATTGGGTGGGGGTAGGAGGGGGGTTCCACAGAACCTGGAGAGGCTGGGGGACGGGAGGCTCAGGCTTGAGGTAACCCTGCATAACCTGGTGGGTGATGTGCCAAAGCGACTGTTTTGGGAGGTGCTCTTTCTTTGTAACTGCAGCTAGAGATGACAGTGGGAAGAACTTCTGTGATTTCTGACCCTGGACTCCCCTTCTGTAATCTGGACTGGTCTCTTACCATCTGTAAAATATCACTTTCATTTGGAAACCAGGAACATCTTCCACTTCATCTAGAACTAGTTACTTTCCCAGCCAGGAGCACAAGGAAGTCAAAGAGAAACGGGAAAAAAAACAATCATTCAGTTATACAAAACAGCCATTTTTATGCCCAAGGCACTTGGTAATTGGATTAATCTTCAGGGGCCTCTGCCATCCAACCTGATCTCTTGAGCTTGTCAGAAGAGGCAAAGACTAGACCTGTGCAAGTAATGTCATCACTAAGCATAAGAGCTGGAAAACCTTTCTGAGCTCACATAGTTTATTATTATAGACATGGAAGGCAGACTGAGAGCAATGAAACATCCTACCTTACTTATATTTGTGGGGGTGCCTGCCTTCTCTCATTGTTCTCATGCCTCCTCACCTGTCAAATAAGGAGGTTGAACAAGATGACTTTTGATACCCTTCCCAACTCTGACATTCAATGCTGCCTGACAAGTGGAGTGGCCAGGCAGCCTTGGGCATTACCCAGGAATCTGACCTTTTGAATCTCAGGTCCAAACCAGACCTACTAAATGAGAATCTGAGTTTGAACCCAACCCCCAGGTGATTCCTATGCACATTAGAGTTGGTTTTAGAACAATCTGGTTGATTTGCCTCTAGAGGGTGTATTCTTCCCGGAAGGCTTTCAAATGTGTCATTCTCTTGTTGGCCTGCAGATGTCAGCAGAGAGCTAACGGTGGTCTTTCTGGAGAGGCGGGACCTAAAGAAAGTTTTTATTCCCATTTCTCCTGTCCCGCCCTTCAAGTTCCTGAGCACTCTGGCCTGTTAAGCAAAGCAGGAGGAGTGGGCTGCAAAATGTATTTTGAAGCTGTTCACATCACAGACACTTCATTGTCTGCCCTTCCAGAAAAGAACTGGACCTAGAGGCCCTTCTGTCTCATGAGCAGACTCCCACAGAGTGATTTTTTTAAAAACCCAAATTCTGTGTTTCCTTGACAATTCAGGTAAATCTGTGGCAGATACTCTGACAGTATGACACTATAATGAACTATATTTTGGTCCCAGAATTTATTTATTAAGGTATTTGTATTGTCTTGTCTCGATCAATTCTTAAAATTTTAAATTATAATGACCATCTTTCCAGTAAACCAAAGGTCAAAGTCTTCCATGTTATTATACAAATATTAGTCCCTTGGACTGCAAGGAGATCAAACCAGTCAATCCTAAAGGAAATGAACCCTGAATATTCACTGGAATGACTGAGGCTGAAGATGAAGCTCCAAACCTTTGGACCTAAGGCGAAGAGCCAACTCATTGGAAAAGACCTGATGCTGGGGAAGACTGAAAGCAAAAGGAGAAGGAGGTGACAGAGGATGAGATGGTTGGATGGCATCTCAGTGAACATGAATTTGAGCAAACTCTGGGAGACAGTGGAGGACAGGGAAGCCTGCAGCATGACCGTCCATGGGGCTGCAGAGTCAGACACAACTCAGCGACTGAACAAAAACAATTTGCATAACCCATTAGACTTTTTAAACACTTTTAATTTAACATATTCTTGAAAAATATTTGTAACATAAGGTGTGTAGGCTACTCTGAGTTACAGGTGATGGTCCTGAAGCTGGAAGTTCATCTAGTAATTTGTGAAAGTAAGACTTGGATCCAGGTGGCACTAGTGGTAAAGAATTTGTCTGTACTGCAGGAGACCTGGGCTCGATTCCTGGGTTGGGAAGATCCCCTGGAGAAGGAAATGGAAACCCACTCCAGTATTCTAGCCTGACAAATCAGATGGACAGAGGAGCCTGACCGGCTATAGTTCACGGGGTCGCAAAGAGCCAGACACAACTTAGGGAGTCAAAATACATGACAAAATAACTTCAGACTTGAGACCTCAGCAGCACAAATCTGTGCTCCTTGAGAAAAAGACAGCCCATGAGGTGAGCCTGCACTGGCCCAGGCTCTCTGCTGAAACTTGATGAGGTGAGGTGACAGAGACTGGAGGTTGGGAAGGCCGAGGTGGCTGGAATTTGCTGGGCACAGCACCTGAGACTAGGGAGCCACATAAAGAAAGTTCCAGAAAAGTGCACAGGGTTCCCTCGTGTTGTCTGCTGACTCTGTGTGAACCCCGGGAGGCTGGGTAGAACAACTTCTGAGGAAAGCACTGATACCAGAGCTCACAGTGAGCTGGGAATTGTTCCAGTTCCCTCCAGCCAGGGTGGGAGGTCCCCACGTAGGGCAGGGGTCCCCAGTCCCCGGGGCTACAGACGGATACTGGTGGGTGGCTGTCAGGAGCTGGGCCGCACAGCTGGAGGTGAGCGGTAGGTAAGCGAGGGAAGCGTCATCTGTTTTTACAGCGGCTCCCCATTGCTCACGTTACCACCTGAGGTCCACCTCCTATCAGATCAGCAGAGGCGTCAGATCCTCACAGGTGCTCAAACTGTACTGCGAACTGTGCAAGGGAGGGATATGGGTTGCAAGTTCCTTGTGAGAATCTAATGCTTGACAATCTGAGATGGAGCTGAGGTGGTGCTGTTAGCAATGGGGAGTGGTTGCCACTGCCTCACCCCCAGACGGGACCATCCAGTTGCAGGGAAAAAAGCTCAGGGCTCCCACTGATTCTGCATGATGGTGAGTTGTATATATTTCATTATATATCACAAGGTAATAATAATACAAATAAAGTGCACAATAAAGGTCAGCATTGGAGAAGGAAAGGGCACCCCACTCCAGCGTTCTTGCCTGGAGAATCCCAGGGACAGCGGAGCCTGGCAGGCTGCCGTCTATGGGGTCACACAGAGTTGGACACGACTAAAGCAACTTAGCAGCAGCAGCAAAGGTAATGCACTTGAATCATTCTGAAACCACCTCCCCCACACCCAGTCCGAGGAAAAACTGTCTTCCATGAAACTGATCCCTGGTGCTGATAAGATTGGAGACCACTACCCTAGGGGACCAAGAGTCCTCCTGGAAAGCACCTTAGCCTGTTCTAACTGGGAGGTGAGCTGGTGAAGAGGATTCAGTGACAAAGCTCCCCTCAATCAGCACCCACCTCAGCTCCCAGAACGGAAAGGTGGAGGAGAAGAGAAAAGGAGGGATGGGAGAGGTGTTCCGTGGAGGGTTGAAAGGAGAGCTGTTCCAAGAAGAGAAAGACAGGTGCTTCACACAGTTGACATCTCATAGAAATGTCAGAACAACTGTCAGCAAACAATGAGGCTGAAGAAACCACAGGTGACTATGGTGGAGAATGCTGTAACTTCTCTTTGTGACTCAAACCCACAACAGCTGTTGGCTTGACCACAACACACGCAGGCCCCAGAGGTTCTCGGGTATTTGAGACCAGGGAAACTTGGGGCCTTGTAGACATTAGAGGGGAGAAGTCCCTTTCTCCACACTGCCTGAATATAGAGTGGGAGCCACAGTGCTTTGGGGGTGGGCATCACCCGGCTTTTTAGAGGAGGAAACCACGATGCCTCTGGTGTGTTTCCAGAAAGTCTACTTTTTGACCTCTTTTGGCAAATTATTAGGGCCCACAGCCAGCTTGGGGCCATGAGGTTTTCCCGGAGGTGCAGCTATGAGCACGTGACCGGGAATACCCAGTGACCCGGTGATCCCCACATACTGTCTGGGTCCTGGGCCTGGGAGCTCCTGCCTCTCACTGGGTGATGAGGCCTGGTGGGTTCACAGACCTTGGGTGGTCTTCTTATGTGTGAATAGAACTCTGGATGAAAGCACATCCCCAAGTAAGAATTTAGTCGTGTTTGACTCTCTGTGACCCCATGGACTGTAGCCCACCTGGCTCCTCTGTCCATGGGATTCTCCAGGCAAGAATACTGGAGTGGGTTGCTATTTCCTACTCCAGGGGATCTTCCTGTCCCAGGGATTGAACCTGGATCTCCTACATTGCAGGCAGGTTTGTCACTGTCTGTGCCAACAGCTCTGGAAAAGTGAGTAAATTGACAGGTGGTTTTTCCTTTAGTGAATACACAAGTAATTCTTTTATAAGCTGGGTCTTGATTATCATTCTTTTGCTTGAGACCCTTTCCTTAGGTTACCTAATAGGGCTTAAGACTTCATATGCCATCAAGTTCTTGGTCTAGACTATGTTTATCATCCTCTGGAAGCATTAAAGCAGCTTCGCATAAGCTGCCCATTCTACCCATTCCTGCTGAAAAATGATCAGACCTATCCAATTTTCGCCCACCCCCTTCCCATGCTCACTGGGTTTTCATGAGAAAGAATGTGAGGGAAACTTGTTAGCAACATGTTTTCAGCTTTATTGAAATTCTTACAAAAGGTCTGATGTATTTTAGGCCTGGCCTAATTTCCTCTAGTCCCTGAAATACAGGATCATGGCTATTTCCACGTCCTTTTAAGTAGGAATGTAAACTAGTAGACTTTGCTTTTAAAGTTCAAACACACATCACTATGGTTTTTCACTGATGTAAAGCAAAACTTATGTTTTCCCAAATGAAAAGACCAAGTAAGAAAGTTACATGCGTCTTCATTGGTGGGATAACTGGATTCTTTGTCAGAACACACTTGCGGATTTATTTCACTCAATGTGACATTCTTCCACATTGAGTATTTTCTTTTTTTTTTTTAATGCAAACTTTGCGATGTACTGAGCTATGTAGTAAAGAGTGCCATGTTCATATATGCATACATATATTGGCTCTGGGAAAAGATGCATGAGTACATGCATGTTATGTAAACATAGCAGATAATAAGCATATTATAAGCAAAGAACAACCAATAGCATGTATTGGTTTCGTTGTCAGCCAGGAGCTTTGCTGGCCTTATCCCCAGAGGGTCCCAGTTATCGCTTTCCCCAGGCAGGCGATGCTCACCAGGTAGGAAAGGTGATTGTGTATCTGAGGCGTGTCTGAGTCGGTGGGCCTATGCTCACTTGCTTACATGAAGCTCCCCAGGCCTAGAACACAGAAATGCCCAGCATGACCTCCTCCTCGTGTCAAAAGCAGACTCTGATCTCCCCATCATTAGCAAAGGGGTGCAGACTGAGGGCTTCCAGAGGCCCGCAGCCTCTTCTTCCCCTAGATGTAGTAGGGAATCCTCATTTCCTTCCAGTCTTATAGGCTCCATCAGGACATGTGTTCTCTTGACCACAGGATGACACCCAAAGTGCCCTGGAAGGTTCTGTACCATCACCTCCAGACAGCTCTGAGACACAGACAATGTGGCTTTAGCCCTCATTGCCAGATGACTGAGGGTTGGCCTTGGTTTAACCCAGATAGCTCCTGTGTCACCCCCCAAACCCATCCTCCTGTGTGGATGGCTGCTTGGAAGCCAGTCACATCCAACCTTGAACTTACACCCTATGGGATTTGGAGTATTTAATCCTTCAGTCACACCTGTGCTGCACCCCAGCTTCTGGCTTGAGTCTAAGCAAAGACACATGAGAGTTCAGGTCAAAACAATGGTCTCACTCTCCATCTGGCTGATAGGCTAGGTGAATGGGTCACTTGAGCGGTACCTGGAGGTCAAGTGGTACCCAAGCCAGCATGACTTGTAGGAGTGCTGCAAAGTGATATGTGAATTGAGCGCCCAAGATACTACGTAGCACACACGGCAGTCACTCAATAAATGTTCCTTTCACTTGCCTTCTCGGCATCCAGACTGGTTCCTGCAGGAGGCTGGCATCTCCCTCTCACTCCTAGAGCCGCCCCTCCTCTATGTCACTTTCCTGAACTAACAAACGCTGTGCAGAGGCAGAGTAAAGAGGGGAAGGTGAATCACTCAGTATCGTCTCTTGCTGGTCAAAACTCTTGGCCTGAGGTTTGGGAATGATCTGCAGAGTAAACGACCTGGGATGCCTCCTGCCCATCTTCATTGCTGCATTGGTTACCAGGATCCATCTGTAACTCACAGACCACAGAGAACATGGACAGGTAGCCCTGATGGCATGGTGTTTAGAAGACTCTGGAAAAAGGCAATCCAGTCAACCAGGGCTCCACACAGGAACCGTGGTGGAAGGGAGAGACAGGCAGTGGATCCCAGAGTTGTGCTTTGGAATAGATGTCCAAGAGGAGGAGGGCGACAGGTCACAGTGGTCCTGGGATGGGAAATTACAGGGGTCTGGGGGTGCTGGGCTGGGCATGGAGGGCAGAGGCACGGTCAGGGGAGCCCCGAGCATTGCCCCCACCCCAGGGATGCAGGAAGGAGGCTGGGCAGCTGGACCCGGACCTCGGGCTGTGCCCACTGTTAGTGTCTCTTGCACGTCACACCAGCATCCTCAGCGTGCCCGCAGTTTGTCACCCCCCACTTGGAGAAGCTGCAGCGGAAGATGCTTTCCTCGGTACCCTTGCAGGCGACATCATCCATCCAAATTCTCCCTGTGCCTGTGGAGACAAGTGGACACGGTGTCTTAGCAGAGATGCAGGGGCACAGGACAGACGGGCGCTGACTGTCCCGAATCCTGTCTCAATTCTCCAATCGAGTGGACCCCCTGCCTTCACCACGCCACCGAGACCAACACATCTTCTCTAGGCACAGTTTCTTGAAAGCAGAATCAAAATAATTGACAGTGAGGATGGTTTCCCTGGTGGCTCAGTGGTAAAGAACCCACCTGCCAATGCAGGAGATGTAAGAGTCGTGGGTTAAATCCCTGGGTGGGGAAGATTCCCTGGAGCAGGAAATAGTGACCCACCCCAGTAGTCTTGCCTGAAGAATCCCATGGATAGAGGAGTCTGGTGGGCTACAGTCCATGGGGTCACAAAGAGTCAGACACGAATTAGCAACTAAACAATAACCAGGATGGTATTTACTGAGCAGCTCTGATGTGTCAGGCCTCTTACACATACGATCTTCGTCCATTCCCACCACAGTGCTGTGAGATGGGCATGAATAACCCTTTTTCTAGATGAGAAAACTGAGGTTCAGAAAGCAACCAGTGCAAGGTTGCTCAGCTTGTAAGTGGAAGAATCTGAACTCAAGCCCAAGTCTTGCTGCCTCTCAGGCCCACACTTTATTCAAGATGCTTAATAGCTTTTGAGATTTTGGCCATGCCACATAACCTGTGGGCTTTAAGTTCCTTGACCAGGGATCAAACCTGTGCCCTCTGCAGTGGAAGCACAGTCTTAGCCACTAGACCACCAGCAAAGTCCCTGCTATTGAGATGTACCTTGCAGCCTTTGCTGCTGAATATTCAGACAAGACATAATCAGAGGGACAATGTCAAATAGATCTAACTTGGACAGATCCAGCGCCCCAGAACCAAATATCTCAGTGTCAACATCACCTCTAGTCTTTTGAAATTTAAAGCTGATGGTCTCACACAATGAGCTCCAAACAGTGGTCCTTGGAATGACGGCAGATCTCAGAAATTAACATTATCACCAGGCATATGTTATGACAGGCGGAAGCATCTGTAACCATAAGCAACTAGCTCAGTTCCCAAAATACAAGGTCCCTAAGACAATCCAGCTGAGTTTTGCCCACCTGTTCACCCTGCCCTATTCACTCGGCTCTTAGAGGAGGACCAACCTGATGGTCTGAGGGTGCCCATGCAGGGAGCCTTTAGTTGGTTTTCCCAGGATTGTACCAAGTCTTCCAAGAGACATACACTTGGCATTGAGGTCTTCAATGAATGTTAAGGGAATAGGGCAGCTGCGTGAGGCTTCAAGGGAATGGAGAGGGCTTGTCTGGGGTCAGAGGAGTCAGTGGAGAGGGGAGAAGTCACCTGGAGCCCCCACTGACTGATGAACTGGCAGGGCCATCAACCATGTTCTGGTGGGTTCTTGGGGCTGATGGTCAAGCCAGGTCTCTAAGTGTGGGAGCTCACTCGGGAGCCCTCTGGAGTGCTGCCTGAGCTTCAGGGCTCCCATTGCCCATGGAGTCAGTAGTGTAGAGCTTCGCTACTCAAAGTGCGATCCTAGATCAGCAGCATCAGAGTTTGTTAAAAACACACAACCTCACGCCCTCCCCAGGACCTACTGAACCAGAATCTACATTTGAACCAAGTGGTCCTGCATTGAAGTTTCAGAAGCACTGGTACAGCAGAAATAGGGCTTTACAACAAGTAGGACAAATCTCAAGTCTCAGCCCATCCAGGAGGACCATTTCAGTTGTAAAAGCGGGAGGGGATTCCCAGGATGTGAGACTTTCGGTGCTGAAACTAAGTATACTGAGAACCTACTGGGTAAACTTACTTGTTATGTTCAAGACCTCGTACCAGAAATCATGGGGCTGAAGGTCAGAAACTGCATTCCAACATTACCATGCCAATCTGGGCAAATTAAACAAGGTAATTGTTGTTGTTTAGTCACTGTGTAGTATCCATCTCTTTGCAACCTCATGGACTGTAACCCACCAGGCTCCTCTGTTCATAGGATTGCCCAGGCAAGAATACTAGGTTGCCATTTCCTTCTCCAGGGGATCTTCCTGACCGAGGGATTGAACCCCAGTCTCTTGCCTTGGCAGGCAGATTCTTCACTGCCGAACCACAAAAGCAGCCCAAATGAAGTAATAGTTCCTGTGTTTTAAAGGGCTTTGAAATGCACCAAAACCCTACATGAAAGGCAGCTCAGGGATCCTAGCACCTGATCCTAGCACCCTGCCTCCTTGTCCAGTCTCTCAGCAGCCAGACAACCTCTCCTTTTAGAGGAATTGTCGAGTATTGTTGTTGTTTAGTTGTTAAATCATGTCCGACTCTTTGAGAATTAAGATCCTCAAACCTGTCACTCACCCTTGCATGGGAAATCCCTTCACAAAGAACATCCAGGGAACACCTAAACCATTTTGCTGCCCAGTAAGAAGCTCCAATATTTTGGCCACCGATACAGAGAGCCAACTCATTGGAAAAGACTCTGATGCAGGGAAAGATTGGGGGCCGGAGGAGAAGGGGGCGGCTGAGGATGAGGTGGTTAGATAGCATCACTGACTCCATGGACATGAGTTTGAGCAAGCTCTGGAAGATAGTGAAGGACAGGGAAGCGTGGCGTGCTGCAGTCCACGGGGTGACAAAGAGTCGGGCATGACTGAGCGACTGGACAACAACAAACTGATGCAAGGACTTAGTGGCCTGGACATATTTTTGTTATGCTGAGATATTCAGCATGAATATCCCCTAGCAGTAAACTAGGGGAAAGAGCTGGGAGGAGAGATCTCCTGCTGTCTTTTTAAATGTTATTTGTTCATCACAGCCTCTTCCCCGGCCGGATACAGTGTGCCTCTTACACAATAAGCCCTTTGAGGCTGAGCAAAAATTCTCAGATTAAATGTCTCCTGGAAAACACATCAGTTTACAAATTACCCAGGAAAAGGTTGCAGACCCAAGAGCTCCGTGGGATTAGTCACACCCAAAACAAATAAAGCAGCAAATGAAGGAGACTGACAAATACAAAACAGGCCCAAGGTTACCAGTCCTAATGCGTACACAGGATCACGAAACTCCAAACTCTAGTTGGGCTTTGGCTAGGGAGTTCTAGCTAGTATTCAGTCATGGAAGAGCCAATAATGAGGACAGGGTGTTAAATCAGCAATACTCACATCTGCAGTTATTGGGATATCACTAAAGGGGCCAATGAACTCGCAGATCATCTCTGCTCCCTGCCGTGTCAGAGAGGCTAGACCTCTCATGAATCCAGACACCAATCACTGTGTCAGCTGACATCCATGAGAGCTGACACTTGACACTAATTGTGTGGCCTGAGCACCAGGTCAGTATCACCTGGGAGTTCATCAGCAATGCAGGGTCTTAGACCCACCAGAACCTGAACCTGGGTTTGACTCCTGTGTCAGGAAGGTCCCCTGGAGGAGGGCCCAATAACCCACTTCAGTATTCTCGCCTGGAGAATCCCATGGACAGAAGAGCCTGGTGGGCTACAGTCCATAGGGTTGCAGAGAGTCGGACACAACTGAAGCAACTAACAGACTGTACCCTAACAGGGTCTCCACCAGTCAACATGCCTCCAAGTCTGAGAGCCCTGCTCTAGTTAGGTCTGCTCCTCCATGCTGGTTCTCTCTGTGAGCTCCATAACAAGCCCCATTGGGAAGCAGGAAGAGGGTTCTCTATTCCCCCACTTTAGAATCAGAAAACTGGAGCTACATGGTGAGGTTTTATCTTATGGAGGCAAAACTGGGACCAGAGGCCAGGTCTTCCGACACTTGGAGCCTAAGGGGCTGTTGGAATCTGAGGGGATGGTTGGGATGAGTAAGCAGAGATATTATTTTATTCTCATCATTCATTCCTTCAATAAATATTTAGGCATCTACTCCATGCTCAGCACTGTTCTGGGTGTTTGGGCTACATTAGTGAACAGAAAATGATTTTTAAAAAACCCACTGCTGGTAAGAATATACATTGGTGGAGAATAGTATGGAGGTTTCTCAAAAAACTAAAAATAGAATTACCAGATGATTCAGCAATCCCACTTCCAGGTACATAGCCACCAGAAACAAAAACTAATTCAAGAAAATACATGCACCCCAATGTCCATAGCAGCATTATGATTATACAGTTGCCAAGACAGGAGAGCAACCAAAGAGTTCCTCAACAGAGGAGTAGATAAAGAAGATGTGGTATATATTATATATACAATGGGATACTACTCAGCCACAGAAAAGAACACAACTTTGCTATCTGCAGCAACATGAATGAACCTGGAGGGGCATCACTCTAAGCAAAATAAGTCAGAAAAGTCAAATACTTTATGATATCATTTGTAGGAGGAATGTAAGATAACACAACAAACTAATGACTCTACCAAAAAACGCATATGTACAGAAAACAAATTAGTGGGTACCAGTGAAGGGGAAGGGGCAACACATGGATGGGGAACGGGGAGGCACAAACAACTGGATGTAAGACAGGCTACAAAGATGTACTGTACAACATGGGGACTATAGCCAATAATTTGTTATTACTGTAAAGGGAAAGTGACCTTTAAAAATGGTACAAAAACAAAACAAGAAAAAGCAAAAATCTCTGCTTCATGGAGCTAACATTGGAGCTACTGCATGTTTACTTAGAGTGATATTAGTAGAAGGAATGAGTTACCCTGAGTCCTGAGGGCTGCCATCAGAGCACCACAGGAAGGCAGGACCTCTATCAGACAGATGTTTAAGAGAAAGGAAAACTGAGGCCCCAGAAAGGCTAGCAGACCTGTTCCACAGCTATGACGGGAGGAGGAGATAGTGACCTCTGATGCCCAGCCAGTCTAGTCTCTGATCCTGACAGAAGCACATACACAGGGCACTTCATGGATCACCAAGTTAAGAGGTGGCACACCAAATTCGGCCCACTTCTTGCTTTTGTAAATAAAGTTTTATTGGAACACAGCACCCCCCATCTAATTACACAAGTCTACCTTGTAGACTGCAGCTACTTTCGTCTGTAGTTACTTTTGTGCGACAACTGCAGAGTTGAATAGTTGTGAGACAGACCATCTAGCCCACAAAGCCTAAAATATTTACTTCTGGCTATCCCTTTAACATTTGCTGACCCTTGCACTAAGCCACCTCCCAGTATTTAAATTTGATCTTAAGAAAAAAAAAAAGCAAAAATGCTAATAATAATTAGAATGGACACTCTCAATCCATCCATCCACCTACACCTACAAATCCATCTGCATTTGTACCCACCCTCACCTTTGTCTGTCTACATGTTTCACAGATTTTCTCAGTGGGTCCAGGACCAGTTCCCTGGGTGCTGCCCTGGTCTCACCCCCTCCATCTCTTTCTGGACCCTGTTCCAGCCATCACCTCCGTCTTCTCCAACTGCACTCCCTCCCTCTCCAACAGCTCTTGGACCAATTTAAACTTTTAAAAAAAAAATCATCTTCAAGTCTTTCTCATTTGGGTCTTCCTTGTTTTTTTCCCAGGGACACCGATCATTTAATTATTGAGGCCTGGCCAGGAAAACTTTTATGGTGCCAAACCACCAAGAGCATGCCAGGCTCGGCAGTTTCTTGTATGGCTCGGGGAGGATGCAGATTCTGCAGGCATACCAGTTTCTTCCTTCTTTCCTCGCACCCTCCTCCCATTCCTCTTTCCTCCCTCCCACTTTCAGTTCAGTTCAGTTGCTCAGTTGTATCTGACTCTTTGCAACCCCATGGACTGCAGCACATCAGGGCACCCTGTCCATCACCAACTCCCAGAGTTTGCTCAAACTGATGTCCATCGAATCAGTGATGCCATCCAACCATCTCATCCTCTCTTGTCAACCCTTCTTTTCCTGCCTTCAAGCTTTCCCAGCATCCGGGTCTTTCTAATGAGTCAGTTCTTCACATCAGGTGGTCAAAGTTTTGGAGCCACTTTATCCAGTACCTATCATGTCCCAATGAGCCAGCTCATTGGAAAAGACTCTGACTGGGAAAGATTGAAGGCAGGAGGAGAAGGGGATGACAGAGGATGAGATGGCTGGATGGCATCACCGGCTCAGTGGACATGTGTTTGAGCAAACTCCAGGAGACAGGGAAGGACAGGGAAGCCTGACGTGCTGTCCTTGGGGTTGCAGAGTCAGACGCGACTTAGCGGTTGAACAACAGCAAATAAACTAAAGAGGAATGAGCTAGGTGGAGAGGAGGGAAAGGCATTGCAAACCTGAGGAAGAGCCGGTGATAGGACATGGAGATTGAAAACGGCTGTATGAGCTCAGAGCCCACATATGGATGCATGCGGCTGAACGGTGCTCCGCTGAGGAGTGAGGCACTTTAGGACAGACCTTGCTGCACTCAGCTAAGGAAGCCGGACTTGATCCGGAGGGCAGTAAAGACCCGCCGAGCGTTGGGCAGTGACAAGCAGGAGGCCGTTTTAGAAAGAGCCCCGGGAGCAGGCGGTGAGCAGTGCGCGCAGGAAGGAGCTCCTGGAGGATGCCCCGCCTCCTCCCAACAAGCAGCAAATGACTGTGTGCCCCCGGGGCCTGCGCTGTGCTAACTGCTTGCCATACACAATCTCATTTGTCATTTGCCATCCTCCTGCAAAAGTGGAAGCGCTGAAGCCTGGGGAGGTTAGGGAGTTTGCTCCAGGTCACCAGCCAGTAAGTGGCAGACGTGGAATGCTAGCTAGGCTCTGTCCTAGAGGCTGAGCTCTGAGCCACTGCTCTACCCAGCCTGAGCTCCTAAGGCAAGAACAGTGAGAACTAAGAGGAGGGGATGGAGTCAAGGGCCCAAGAGGTCGCACTGGTAGAATCTGCAGGACCCAGGGACTCAGCAGAGAAGGAACAGGGGAGTGGGTGAGGGGAAGGGGAGGGACAGGTCTGCAGTCCTGCCTGGAAGGATAGAAAGCACATCCATAAGAGAAACAGAGATGATGGATGGCAGGGCTGGAGCTGGGGGCCTGGGAGACTCCATGAGGCTGAGGGTGAGCCGACTGGGGTCGGGAGTCTGGGTACCTGCCTGAAGGGAATCTGTGGTCAGAGGGGCGTCTGGACCTGAGGCGCAACCTGCCCTCTGCCAGGAGAGGTGGGCATCCCCCACCCTGCCCCATAGTTGGCAGGGCAGACGAGCCCTTCCCATGCCGTTTAGAATCTGTGAACATGTCCACCTCCCCCTAAAGTGAACATGCTGAGGTCAGAGACTATGCTGAGCCTAGTGCCTGCCCATAGAAGGAGCCAGAAGCCGCTATGGGGAGAAGGAAGTGCAGCCGGGACAGGAGGCGCCCACCTCCCGCTGTGGACCTGTGAGTAACACCGGGCCGGCCCGCCTGCCCAGGTCTCAAAGACCACGTGACCGAAGCTACCGGACAGCAATGGGGAGGTCAGGCCACGGTTCACTTTCTGGGCTTCCCTGGTGGCTCAGACAGGGGAGAGTCTGCCTGCAGCACGGGAGACCCAGGTTTGAACCCTGGGTCGGGAAGATCCCCTGGAGAAGGAAATGGCAACCAATTCCAGTACTCTTGCCTGGAAAATCACATGGACAGAGGAGTCTGGCAGGCTACAGTCCATGGGGTTGCAAAGAGTCAGGCACAACTGAGCCACTTCATATTCATATTTAATGGTGCAAATCTGATGCAAATGTAGAATCGAGTCTGGCTTCCCACTGCCTGATTTAAAGACTCCAGTGGCATTAATATACAATATTTTTATATATGTGGAATCTAGAAAAATTGTATAGATGATCCTATTGAAAGCAGAAATAAAGATACAGATGTAATGAACAAACGTATGAATACCAAGGAGGAAAGAGGAGTGGGTGGGAGGAATTGGGAGATTATGATTGACATATATAAGGGCTTCCCATGTGGCACTAGTGGTAAAGAACCTGCCTGCCAATGCAGGAGATGTAAGACACGTGGGTTCAATCCCTGGATCGGGAAGATCCCCTGGAGGAGGGCATGGCAATCTGCTGTAGTGTTCTTGCCTGAAGAATCCCATGAACAGAGTGTCCTGGACTGGTGGGCTACAGTCCATAGGTCTCAGAAAGCTGGACAAGACTGAAGTGACTTAGCATGAGTGACGTATATACACTATTGATACTATACATAAAATAGGTAACTAATGAGAACCTACTCTATAGCACAGGGAACTCTACTCAATGCTCTGTCCTGACCTAAATGGGAAAGAAATCCAGAAAAGAGGGGATGTATGCATATGTATATGTATACCTGATTCATGTGTATACCTGATTCATTCTGCTGAATGGTAGAAATTGACACAACATTGTAAAGCCACTACACTCTGGCAAAAATTAATTTAAAAAAGGCTTGAGTGGCAATTGTAGGGGTTTCCCCTCAGGCCATATGATACAAACATCAAGGAAGGATCTCCTGCATTGCAGACAGATTCCTTACAGTCTGAGCAATTAGGGAAACCCAATATGTTCCAGTGTCTCCTAGTTTATATTTTATTGGAACTTGAATTTGTATCCGACTTTTGTGTGAAAACTGTATAAATGTTAATTATGTTGAATTGGTTTCACAGTGCTTTTCAGAGCTATTCTATCCTTCTACTTCTCTGTATATTTGTTCTATTCATTTTTGAGAGTTTGATATTGAAACTCCCATTAAAAGTCTTAATTTATCTACTTTAAAAAATAAAGTAGAACTATATGTAACCTGGTTCTGTATTTAAAAAAAATTTTTTTTTAAATCAAGGGAGGATGAAAGAGTTTTAGGTTAACCCTGCTTATGACAATCAAATGACCTAGTGTGGCTTTTCTAAAAGACTGTATCACTTTTCCCCCTAAAATATTTTGCTTCCATATATTAGGGAGATGTCCTCATCAGAGCCGAAAATGGAAAAGTAAGGACTGATTCCCCATTTCTGTTTGTCCTGCAGACAAAGATGGCAGCTTTCCTTGCAGAAAACAGGCTGAGACCCACTGCACAGCTTCAGGTGGGAGGGAAGCACTCGTCCCCGGTGGGCTGTCCTCTGTGGAGCTGGACCCTTTGAACTCCCTGCTCACTGGGCCTTTCAGTCCAGAGGCCAGGACGCTGGGGTCAATCGGCTGCTCCCCACCAGCTGTCACAACAGATTTCACAAGAGCGCTTCAGTGAGCGCAATTGTCTTCATGGGCTCAGACTGGGCAGCTTGTAAACAAGAGATGTTTATTTCTCACAGTTCCAGGGGATGCAAGTCCGAGATCAGAGTGCCTGTGTGCTCAGATGCTGGGGTTCTAGGGAGAGCCCCCTTCCGACTGGGAGGCTCCTGTGTGTCCCCACGGAAGCGGGCAGAGCACCCTTAGGTTCTTTTACTAAGGTCCCATTATGAGAGCTCAACTTGTGACCTGGACACCCCCTCACAGGCCCCACCTCCTAACACCATCACACTGCAGGATCAGGATTTCGACATATGAATATGTTATTGTTCAGTCGCTTAGTCGTGTCTGACTCTTTGCAGCACCATGGACTGTAGCCCACCAGGGTCCTCTGTCCACAGGATTCTCCAGGCAAGAATACTGGAGTGGGCTGCCATTTCATTCTCCAGGGAATCTTTCGACTCAGGGATGGAACCCGTGTCTCCTGCATTGCTGGCGGATTCTTTGCCACTGAGCCACCAGAGAAGCCCATATGGATTTGGCTGGGGAGGGATGGGGTAGGAGGGACACAAACATTCAGTCCACAACAGGGGAGGCCAGCAGGAGACAAAAAGAGAAAGGAAGTCCAATTCGAGGGAAGGAAGGAATGTTCTAATGTTCAGAACTGTCTGAAGACGGATGGCTGCAGGCTGCGAGCCCCCCGAGGTGGGAAGGACCCAGGTGGAGGCCGGGTGACACTCGGCAGGACTGCCATAGAGGGGACCCCGGATGGGAGGGCAGGCCTAGGACTCCAGGCCCCTCGCCCCTCGTTCTCCACTGGTGGGTGCCCTACCTTGTCCGAACTGAGCGGTGCGGTGCACGTCCTCGGCGCCGGGGAAACCCAGCATGCGGCACACCACGTCCCCGTCCTTCTTGTCCCAGCCATCGTCACACACGGTGCCCCAGCGCCGCTCATGGTACACCTCCACGCGGCCCTGGTGCGGGCCCGAGCCGTTCACCAGCCGCACCATCACTGCCTCCACGCCACCTGCCGGGAGCAACGCAGGGTCACGGTCACTCCCCTGAGCCTGGACACAGCCGTGCCCACCCCCCCGGAGCCCTCCCCGGCTCCTCACCCCCACTTGGATAGGGAGGGGGGCTGGGGCTCCAGTGAAGGCCAAGCAGGCAGCCAGCAGAAACCGTGGTGTCACCCCTGCCTGTTATTATCACCTCTGCCCTTCTCTCCACCTTTTTTAATACTTCTGTTTTTCCAGAGTAGTTTTAGGTTCATAGCAAAATTGAAAAGCAGGAACAGTGCTGGCTTTGGCAGTGCATGTGCTAAAATTGGAATGATACAGGGAAGATTAGCAAGGATGACATGTGAATTCATGAAGCATTCCATAATTTTTTTTTTTTTTTTTTTACAGCTGCAACAGAAATCTGATACAAATTTCAGCATGGAGTGCATAAATTCCTGCTAATTACTGATCATTCTTTAATCACTTTATTGAAGATCTAGGTCAAATCCACATTTAGTAATTATAGCACTAAATAAAAGTGTGAGAACTGGCTTTTCCCTTCACAGTTGGTGACGCTAGATATCCTATGAAATGAAAAAAGGAAAAACTGAAAAAAAAAAAAAAAAAAGGAAGGCATAGACTCCCTCCCCCACTCCCAACAGGGATAGCTTCTTCCCCACCATCAACACCTGCCTCCAGAATGGTGCATTTGTTACTACACTTGATCTTAGCCAAAAGGGCGGGAAGTGATTGCATTTGTTATAATCTATGAACACACAGAGACATGTCGTAACCACCCCGAGTCAAGAGTTTACACCAGGGTTCACTCTTGGTATTGTCCGTTCTATGGTCTGGACAAATGTATAATGATATGTATTCACCAACATAGTATCCTAAAGAATGGTTTCACTACCCAAAAAATCCTCTGTGCTCCATCCCTTCATCCCAACCCCCACCCCTTAGCCCCTGGCAAACACTGATCTTTTTCCTGTCTCCATAGCTTTGCCTTTCCCATAATGGCATATAGTTGGGATCATACAGTATGTAGCCTTTTCAGATTGGCTTCTTTCATGTAGTAATATGCATTTAAGGCTTCTCTTTCCATGGCTGGATAGCTCGTTTCTTTCTAGCACCGAATAATGTTCCATTGTCTGGATGTACTACGGTTTAACTATCCATTCACCCAATGAAGGCATCTTGGAAGGAATTATGAATAAAGCTGATTGAAAAGCAGGAACAGTGCTGGCTTTGGCAGTGCATGTGCTAAAATTGGAATGATACAGGGAAGATTAGCAAGGATGACATGTGAATTCATGAAGCATTCCATAATTTTTTTTTTTTTTTTTTTACAGCTGCAACAGAAATCTGATACAAATTTCAGCATGGAGTGCATAAATTCCTGCTAATTACTGATCATTCTTTAATCACTTTATTGAAGATCTAGGTCAAATCCACATTTAGTAATTATAGCACTAAATAAAAGTGTGAGAACTGGCTTTTCCCTTCACAGTTGGTGACGCTAGATATCCTATGAAATGAAAAAAGGAAAAACTGAAAAAAAAAAAAAAAAAAGGAAGGCATAGACTCCCTCCCCCACTCCCAACAGGGATAGCTTCTTCCCCACCATCAACACCTGCCTCCAGAATGGTGCATTTGTTACTACACTTGATCTTAGCCAAAAGGCCGGGAAGTGATTGCATTTGTTATAATCTATGAACACACAGAGACATGTCGTAACCACCCCGAGTCAAGAGTTTACACCAGGGTTCACTCTTGGTATTGTCCGTTCTATGGTCTGGACAAATGTATAATGATATGTATTCACCAACATAGTATCCTAAAGAATGGTTTCACTACCCAAAAAATCCTCTGTGCTCCATCCCTTCATCCCAACCCCCACCCCTTAGCCCCTGGCAAACACTGATCTTTTTCCTGTCTCCATAGCTTTGCCTTTCCCATAATGGCATATAGTTGGGATCATACAGTATGTAGCCTTTTCAGATTGGCTTCTTTCATGTAGTAATATGCATTTAAGGCTTCTCTTTCCATGGCTGGATAGCTCGTTTCTTTCTAGCACCGAATAATGTTCCATTGTCTGGATGTACTACGGTTTAACTATCCATTCACCCAATGAAGGCATCTTGGAAGGAATTATGAATAAAGCTGCTACAGACATTCGTGTGCAGGTTTCTGAAAAGACATAAGTTTTCAATTCATTTGGGTAAATACCAATAAGCAAGATTGCTGGGGTCTTCCTGGTGGCTCAGCTGGTAAAGAATCCGCCTGCCAATGCAAGAGATGAAAGAGATGATGGGTTCGATCCCTGGGTCAGGAAGATGCTCTGGAGAAGGGAATGGCAATCCACTCCAGTATTCTTGCCTGGAAAGTCCCACGGACAGAGGAGCCTGGCGAGCTATAGCTCATACAGGTCACCAAGAGTCGAACACAGCTGAGCCACTGAGCACCTCGTGCATCAGTCATCCCTGACTATTCTTCGCACGTGAGTTTATAACCTCCAGCCAGGTTATCAGAAGAGGCTGAGGATGAGCATGAGAGCAGAGACTCCTCTAGATGGAAAACAATGAGCGCAGCAGGACTCAGAGGCCAGGTCTGAGACGGAGACGCCACCCGGGAGCCTTCGTGACAAGCCAACCTGGAGCCGGCAGCCGCAAACACAGCCTGGCCCGGGTTGGGCGTCTGGCCCTGGTGTGTTGGCTGAGGCTGAAAAGGCAGTCTTGATTTCTCCCAGACCTGCCTCGCCTCTGTCAGCACCCCGTCACGGTGGCCGTGGGCCACGCCAGGCCAGGAGGCTGCCAACGGCAGTCTCCGTGTGGGGTCATCAGTAGAGGGAGAGTGGCAGGAGGGGGCTGTGCGTCCCAGAGCCGGCGAGGCCGGGTTCAAGGTCCAAATAACAGGAAGAAGTCGGGGGCAGTGCAGGCAGCCCAGCTGACATTCAGAGATGGCCCCGTATCCTCCGCTCTGGCCAGCCTCGCTCACTCTATTCACTTCCTCCTCTTGCCAAGTAAGCAACTGACCATCTGTTAGGAGCCTGGTCCTGTTGTAGGAGCGATGGACACATCCATGAACAAAGTCTCTGCCCTCATGGACTATGTTGTAGTGGAGGAGACTAATCAATAGAGCTGGGAAACAAATTCAAATATAACTATGGCCACGTAGGGATGGTGCAGAGACAAGAACTGAAACACAGGAAGGGAACGGAGCATGGGCGGAGGCGCCATCTTGGTCGAGGGGACGCCATCTTGGTCGAGGAGACGCCATCTTGGTCGAGGAGACGCCATCTTGGTCGAGGAGACGCCATCTTGGTTGAGGAGACAAGGAACGGAATGGACTATGGAGGGTGCCATTGTGGATGGGGACACAAGGAAAGGAATGGAGGGTGGGGGGCACCGTCTTAGACGCGGGGAGTCGGGGAAGGGAATGGAAGATAGGGGGAGCACCATCTTGGTAGAGGAGACAAGGAAGGGAATGGACACAAATGAATGCACTCAGATAGCATATACCCCAGAGGGCAGGTCCTGTCTATGGACACAGCCAGTGACTTTGGTGGGAGTCTGAATGGAGAGTCAGCATCAGGACTACCAATGTTTCCAACACCCTCCTTATTACATCTCAGTCTCTTCTACTCACTCCCCTCACTGACATCTTTCGGTAGGATGACCCGGTGTTCTGGACCCAGAACTCAAGCTGTTGGTTCGATGACCATACATTCTACATGAGAAAATAAGGATGTGGTCTGACATGTGATTATAGTGAGTGCTGAAGGAAATCTGGAAAGTGTCACTTGGATGCTGAAATGTTAGAATTCCTAGGAGGCTTCAATGTATATGGAAGTGGCAAAAGAATATTTGGAAACAGGACAACTTCAAAACATTGGAAGCATATGGTAACCATAATTATGGGACTCAGAGCATCAAGTTCAAGGCTGTGTCTGCCCATGCTCCCCACACGCCAAGCAAGGTCACAGCCCCCATCAGTCCTGGGGTTATGCGTGTCCCCCAGCCCACGTACACCCAGACACCAGAGTTGATTGATCAAACACTGAAGCCTATCCCTTGTCACTTGTTCCCAGGTCCCCCAGATCCAGGACTTCTCCCTGCAATGGAGGCTGAACACAGTCCCTTGCCCCATGGGGTCAGCAGACACTGCAGTTCCCAAAAGAATCAAAGAAGCAAATTTTGATCTAGCGCCATCTTATGGAACATAGCACTAAGCTATGTTTTTTTTGTGGTTTTTTTTTTTTTTTTTTGATGTGGGCCATTTTTAAAGTCTTTATTGAATTTGTTACAATATTGCTTCCATTTTCTTTTCTGGTTTTTTGGACTCTGAGGTATGTGGGAGCTTAGCTCCCCAACCAGGAATCAAACCCACAGCCCCTGCATTGGCAGGTGAAATCTTAAGAACAGGACCACCAGGGAGGTCTCTAAGCTATAATTTTTTTAATCCTTTCTTCTCCCTAACAAGAGGGCATCCCTGTGGCTACCTCCCTGAGGAAAACCATAAGCTGAGATTTGATCTGATTATGATGCTAACTGCCCCAATGAGGAACTCAGACAATCTAAAGGGGCAGTCCCATGAACAACATCCCTGGCCTGCTTTGCCCTAAGAGCTACAGGGGCGGCTGGAGGCAGGCCGTTCCCAGGCTGAGCCACCATGCCACCTTCTGGAACCCACTTGGGGAACCACCCAATGATGCCAACACGGACTTCCTCTGTAGCCTGAGACAAATGTCATGACTTGCTAAGAGGTTTGGGTTTCTGTGGGCAGAGGGTGTAAACTCTGCCTTTTCCCAGCAGTTTCTGCCCTAGAGCAATGCTTTCCCACCAGCAAACCACCACTGCTGGGGAAACGCGCTCACCCCACAGCTGTCAGCCCCACAGAGAGAGAAGCAGTGTCCAGGAGGCTGCATCAGCCTGGTTAGTGCCCAACGCCCCCCACCCCACATGCCCCGTTATACTTCCTGTAAGTCCAGGGAGCTAATTCTTTAGATATCCACCCAGAGTGGCCCCGA